AATTAAGTTTGAAGTACAAGGCACCACTGTATTAGAATTTATATTAGTAATGTTATGTTAGTGCATTTACTGTACCTTAGCAATGATTGGTTTTATATATATCCACAAAATAAAGCAACCCCCCCCCCGAAAACTCATAAAACACACACACTGAACATGCATGAGCATTACGCAACAGATGTTTTGCAAAAGAAGTTTCACAGCGAGATAGACAGGAGCACAATGGATGACAGTTACACCGCAATTGCATTTTTTTTTTCACTTCACATGCAATTCGAACATTAGAAGCATCATTTGAACTTTGAAGCAATTTTATCTCAACTTTAACCTTCAAACTCTGGATCATTCAAAGTTAGAGTAATTTGAAGGATGAGGCACCACTGTGCCTTCTGTAGTTGATGCCTGACAGTGGCTCACATTTCAAAATGTATGCCCATTTCTTGAAATTGAATGAAATGCACTCTACCTACAACAATCAATAAAGTCTCATCTTGAATGTCAGGACCACTTACAAAGATGTAGTACCGTGTTTCCCCGAGAATAAGACTGGGTCTTATATTAATTTTTGCTCCAAAAGACATACTAGGGCTTATATTCAGGTGATGTCTTATTTTTTCATGTACAAAAATCTACATTTATTCAAAAACAGTCACGTCATCTTCTGGAACATCGTCATAACTCTCCAAACCCTAAATTGTGTTGCAATGGACAGACTAAATGTGTTTGGCTGATGATCTTAACTGGGGCTTATTTTGGGGGTAGGGCTTACATTATGAGCATCCTGGAAAAATCATGCAGGGCTTATTTTCTGGTTAGGTCTTATTTTTCGGGAAACAGGGTAGTAGAAAAATACTGCCAAACAGAAGATGTTTAAAGTTTCATAAAATTCTTTCTGTTATTAGCTGTGCTTCAGTAGATCCAATAATAATAATTCTTGTTTCACCTTTTAGTGATAATTTCCCTCAGTGTATTTCATTTTGTTATTTTTCTGCATGTGTGCATTATGGGCAGTAAAGTAAAATAAAATTCAATAAAATATCCCACTTCATTGAAATCAGTATATGTGTCAGGTACTGTAATGGTCAGAATAAATGAATGCTTCATAGTTTTGGACATGTTCAGCAATTTAAATTGTGATATTCAAATATATTTTCCAAGTATTTTGTATATATGTTGACATCAGATATGTTCTTTTTCATTGCAAATTATAAGGCAGATAGACACTGAAAAAGTCTGAATCAGTAATGTACTACAGATTAAATATTATAAGTTCATTCAGAACAGCATTATAATTACTATAAATAATTTTGCATACATTTCTGTAAGTTCATTTGTGGATGAGTGAGTGAGAGTGACAGACTCCACTCTGAAGGAGGATTATGGTTTTAATAGTGAAATTGGCAGAAAGTTTCAGCTATTGGGAAGTATAGAAATTTAAAAAATACAACAGAGAAGGTTGTGTGACAGACATTATGCAGGGCCAGTTTGTGTGACCAAACAGTCCATTGAGACTTAGTCAAGACAGAGGCACTAGGACCAGGGCAATAGAACTCAAGGCAAAACAGAGTTAAAAGTTGAATAGTAAAATCCAAGTTAAACTCACAGAACAGGCCAGGGTCAGGAACCAGGAAGACAGAGGTGCATGTACCTTGAGGGAGGAGACACAGCAAGGCAGAAGACACAGCAAGGCTCAGGCAAAATGCAGGAACTGAACCACAGCTAACAAGCAAACCTGGTTTGCTGAGGCAACAACAGCAAGGCAAGATGTAGTATGAACCAAATGAAGCAAGGGTCCGGCAAGGTAAGAAGCTGACTCATACTACAGCCAGCAAGAAGAGCTATGTTGCTGAGGTAAGGCAGAAAGCCTGTGCTGCTAAAGCAAGTCCTGGAAAGAAGAGGTTGCTTACATAGCTCTTCCCCCAGGGCTGCCAGCAGGTGCTCATCAGGAGCCTAAGAGATCTAAGAGGGTCTGGGACCAATCCTGTGAATACTAAGATAAATTTTTGGTTCTGACCATCAGGTGAAGCCCCAGAACAGCCCAGATCCTGATAAAATCATGTCATACTATGTTGTCCAAACCTCACAGGGGTGAGTTATGCAAACCATGGCTTGTTCCAGAGTTATGTGAGGGTGGCTTAATCCATTCTTCCTGAGTTGGCTGTGATGGTAAAATGCCACCACTACAACAGGGTTTGCTGAAATTAGTGTCCCCGCCTTTACTAGTCTCTTGCCTGGAGTTGGAAGAGCAAGAACTAGCCAAAGATGAAGGGGAACCTGTAGATGAACAGAAGCAGCTATCAGCGGAGGAGCAGGAACTCCTGCTCTACAAGAGGCTGCCATACTACAGGAAGGTTGCACAGAAGGAGATACACTTGACTGACACACAGAGAGTGGTATGCTTGAGGAACAAATGTAAAACCAATCATGTGCAGCTTGCTAGAGGCTTGGATTGTGCTACAGAGGAAATTTTCAGAGAACTGAACACCAAGACAGAGTAGTGCAGACTGAATTATTGTCTCCTGTCCATGTGGGCCATGCATCACATAGTTCAGAGCATATGTGCTTCTGGAGAAGCAGTAGCTACTGCTGTGGACTATACTTTTTGAATGGCCATGGCAGAATGAACTGATGTAATAGAAAGGCAAACAAATTTTCTATAAATGTTAGCAGCAACTCTTCTTGAACATCAGGCTCAGGCCACTCATTCTCCCTATCCATAGACCTTTCCCCATACAGTTTCTTCCTTCTCCCAATCAGGATCAGTTTTAGCAGCATGCTTGGGTGCCTGTAAACATATAACACTATGCCCCCACTTGCTTCATACATTACTTCAATTTGTGACTCCAGGTGTGTGCTTCCTAGAACTGTTTTTGAGAATGCTGTTCAATTACCACTAATATATGGCAGTGGGCCAATAAGCAGGGCAGGGTGTCCAGCTGGCCCATGTTTGGATAGAACATATCCCCCCAAGAGGCTGCCAATGACTCCCCATATGTAATAGCAGCCCAAATTTTGGCCTTTCTTTTTGCCTGCTATTTTTTCCTCTTGATCTTCCACTAATAATTATATAGCAGACCTTAAGTACAGAATGAAAGAAGGTCTCAGGGACTTTTCTGGCCAGCACTACACAATCATGTTTGCAG